TTTTTGGAATTTTTAACTTACTTGCATTCACCTGTTTCTATATATAGAGATAAAGATAATTCTATATCTCTGTGATACAAGTTATATATTGCCTATTTGCACCATTTAGTGTGCTACCTTATGATTTTGAGATATATCCATTATAATATTTTGTGTGTATTCTAAACCCCGTGCAGATCACATTTTTGCTGTTGTGAATCTGTAACTATCAAGTTGCTTTATATTTAAGCAGAGTATCTTGGTGTGTAACAGACAAAATCTGCCTTTAGCAGATTTAAAGGTATACACACCATACATATTTTTTTCCGTCAATACTGGTTATCCTAGAAACAGATACAACTATTATATTGTCAACCAAGCCATATTATAGTGAACTAGCTCCTGAACTCACTACCTTGAAGGTATTACTGTCTTTTATTCCTTTGGACAGGTTTGGGTGTATCCCTGTCCTGGTTCAGTATTGAGCTATCCACTCTGAGTCGGACTCCCTCATCCCTGTGTGTTGCACTAGGCAGACCAGATTTTACTATTAATAAATCCATACCCGCGATCATGAGATCTTTTTGGTGGGATTCTCTCAGGAAAGATGTTACAGAATATTTGCAGGCCTGTGCTGTATGTGCAGTTTTTAAAGTACCTCATAAACTCCTGTGTGGATTATTACATCCACTACCCGTAACCAGTGTTCCATGGTCCCATTTGTCCATGGATTTCTTTGTGGAACTTCCTAGTTCTAATGGCTATACCACCATCTTTATGGTTGTTGACCGCTTTTCCAAAATGGCTCATTTTGTTCCACTCAAAAAATTGCCTTCCTCTCAAGAATTAGTTGTTATTTTTATATGTGAAATTGGCTGAATACATGGCATCCCTCACAATATTGTCTCTGACAGAGGTTCTCAGCTTGTGTCTCGGTTTTGGAGGGCTTTCAATAAACAGTTGGGCATTGAATTGTCATTTTCTTCCTTTTATCATTCCCAAACCAATGGCATGGCTAAGAGGGCTAACCAGTCTCTGGAATTATACTTGCGTTGTTTTGTTAGTAGCACTCAAGATAATTTGTCTGATAATTTGTCCCTGGGCCGAGTTTGCTAGAAACAATGCTAATCATGATTCTTCTGGGCATAGTCCTTTCTTCATTAATAACAGTCATCATTGTACTGCGCTACCAGCTGTTTTTTCTGACACGGCTATACCTGCTTTGGATGATCACCTTGCTTCTCTCCGTGAGACGTGGACCAAGGTTCACTCTACTCTGGAAACTGCAGCTGATCGTTTCAAGTATTATGCTGATAAGCGGCTGGGTGCCAACCATGTTTACCAAGTGGTTGAGAGGGTGTAGTTATCATCACGCAACATTAGGTTAAAATTTGCCCCAAGACTCCTTGGTCTATTCTGTATCATTAGGAAAATTAATCCTGTCTCTTATTCTCTAGCACTTCCTGCCTCTTTGAGTTTTCGCAACACCTTTTATGTCTCCTTGCTCAAGCCACTTGTTTGCAATACATATGCTGTCCCAAGTGTTCCTCCACTGACTGTTTCTAGACAGGAGGAGTATGAGGTCTCCTCCATAACGGATTCCAGGTTTTCCCGTGGCAACTTACAGTATTTGGTTGATTGGAGGTGGTATGGGCCTGCTGAACGTTCTTGGGTTCCGGCCTCTGACATCCATGCTGGCAGCAAAATTTGTTTTTCCATGCCAAATTTCCTCTCAAACCTTGGCCTGCCCACCTGGTGGGCGGTCTTCAGTGGGGGTAATGTCACGTATACATCCTCCCTATATGCTATGCATGACATAGATCGCCTTTCCAGGAATAAGTGCTGCTCGGCAGTCCTATGCAATAAGGCCAGGCTTTTTCAATAATGCACAGCTGCAGCATGCAGCTGTGCATTATGCTGTAATGTATTTATGCTGTGATGCATTATGCAGCTGTGCCGTATGCTGTAATATCTGTTAACTGTGGTGCATTATGCAGCAGTGCCTTATACTGTGATGCATTTAAACTGTGATGTCTTTAAACTGTGGTGCATTATGTAGCTGTGCCTTATGCTGTGATCTTATAGTGTGATGCCTTTTATACTGTAATGCCATTATGCAGCACTCATACGTCTATTTTCCAAAAACAACCTCTGGATATGACACTGAGCATGTGCACTCAACGTCTTTGGTCGACCATGGTGAGTCCTGTTCTGAGTGGAACCTGTCCTGTGAAACCGCTGTATGATCTTGCCCACCATGCTGCAGCTCAGTTTCAGGGTCTTGGCAATCTTCTTATAGCCTAGACCAGCTTTATGTAGAGCAACATTTTTTTTTTCAGATCCTATGAGAGTTCTTTGCCATGAGATGCCATGTTGAACTTCCAGTGGCCAGTATGAGAGAGTGTAAGAGCTATAACAGCAAATTTAACACACCTGCTACCCATTCACACTTGAGACCTTGTAACACTAACAGGTCACATGACACCGGGCAGGGAAAATGGCTAATTAGGCCCAATCTGGACATTTCCACTAAGCGGTGTACTCACTTTTGTTGCCAACCATTTTGATATTTATGGCTGGGTTATTTTGAGGGGAGAGCAAATTTACACTGTTGTACAGGCTGTACACTTACTACTTTACATTGTAGCAGCGTGTCATTTCTTCAGTGTTGTCACATGAAAAGATATAATAAAATATTTACAAAAATGTGAGGGGTGTACTCACTTTTGTCAGATACTGTATGTGTGTGTGTGTGTGTATATACACAGTGTATATATATATATATATATATATATATATATATATATATATAGTTAGAACATATACATATATATTGATATATATATATATATATATATATATATATATATACTTAGAACATATACATATATATTGATTTTTTGGTGTGGTTTTAGTGTGGTTGAGGGATAGTATGTAGTGATCTTATATTTTTAATTGTGTCTTGGGATGTAATGTTTGTAGTGGTAAACTCTCCAGGTCTCAGGAACCCATAGAAAGCTAAGTAGATAGCGGTTTTAATTACATGATTAGTGTGTAATTCGAAAGGGGTGGTATCCATGAGGTCCATTAATGATTGGAAGAGTTGACTATGAATAGGTGATCTAGAAGATGGTGGTGTGGGGTTTGAATTCTTAATTCCTTTTAGTATGGTTTTGATTTGATAAGATGATAGGAAACTGTGGTTGTTTGGCCAACGTGTAAGTATATGGTGTTGTATTCCTGTCAGATATAATTTGATGGTGTTGTAAAATAATTTTAATTTAAGGTGGCAAAACGAAGTGAAAGCTACAATAGTTCCCATTGAATATTTATTTACAACCTGAAAGTCAAACAAGAATCTGTTATAAACACTGAATGCCCTGTCGAATGCTTTTCTAGTATTGTCAGACAAAGCCAATTGCGAAAGGAGTCTGGTATGAGTTACCAGATCTCCGAATCCAATGTCATGTCCTACTGTGACGGAGCCAGGGTTGCCACCAAGACTGCCGTCGGTAAAGCTTTGTGGAATTCCTGAAATTGAGAGCGACACAAATGATCATCTGCTACATTCTGAATGCCAGGAATATGGACACATACCAAGAAGAAATTATAATTAGCAGCCAGCCAAGTCAATTTCCTCAAAGCTCATGATGATCAGAGATTAGAACGACCTTTGTTAATTATAAGGAAAGTGGCTAAGTTGTCCGAAAAACATCTCTCGTCTAACCTGACCATGCTGCTCCCCACGCTACTGCAGCAGCTACAATTGGATAGAGTTCGAACAGGGCAATAGTGTTAGAAAAACCTGGTACGTTGTACACTTCAATCGGCCATATCCTCCATAGCCAATTATCACCAAAAGTAGCCGCAAAGCCTAACGTGGCAGCTGCGTCTGTAAAAATAGTAAGGGAGTCAGAGGAAAGTAACGGGATAAACATGCTTTTCCCATTCCATCTCATGAGAAATATCTGCCACATACGTAAATTCAAGGTAGCTGGAACGTCCAGTGAAATGCGGGCAATGTCAGGCTGAAAGCGGTGAAACAGATTGAGCAGTCTAGATATAAAAGCCCTGCCCTGCTGGATAATTTTCATGGCAAAATTGAGGGAGCCTAGTAGAGACTAATTCTGTATGATTAAAAGATCCTGCAGAGAGATATAGATCGATGCTGGATAGGATGCGCTCAATTATAAATATATTATATCACCGATATCAGAACCTTCAAGAGCTTAACTGACTACTAATTGACAAAAAATAAAAAGGACCCACCTAAAGCGAGTTGGACAATTGAAACTGAGCCAACCAGAACCTAGGAGCTTTGAGATTTGAAAAACCCTCAGAGGCATAGCCAAAAGGAAGGTTCAAGCCCGGCAACCTATAAGACACATCTTGTTACAACATATCTTATAGGCAGAACAAAATTTAGCAACAATGCGCTGCTCAATTAAATTTAAACAGAAAAGTATTTGATCAGAAATTTAATATGTGCAGTACTCCCCTATGGCCTCTAGAGGCCAGCAGCCTATCAAGCATACACATATAATTATGTGAATGTCCACATGGACCCAAGGAATACCTATTACTATAATAGGGCAGCCGGCTGTAATTATACGAACGGCCCCAAGGAGGAGCAAAGAGCCGCATAACAACCGAAAGCTCCATGTTTAACCAAGCACTGTAACAGGCATGTTGTACGAATCGTAAGTAACGTGCGTGCTTACGAACACAGGGCCGAATGGGTGAGCATATGAACCGACAAGCAGAAAAATAATGAAACAAACTACCGAACGGTACGTTCGTATGGAAATTAACGAAAGTCTATACGAAAGGTATGCGAAGTAGAAATAAGTATGAGAATAGAGTTGGACCGTGATGACGCTGTGCACCTGCGACAGGGTCGTGAAGGTCGACCAACTCACTGTTACTACAGCTTTGAGACAGTTAGCTGCAGAGACCGGAGAAGAGGGGAAATATCCCGGAAACCTTGAACGGCTAAAAACTCGAACCAGCAAACACTCTAAGGGCAGGTAAGGTATCCATGAGGAAAGGTAAGCAAAATGGCGATCTGCTGCAGCCATAAGTCCAGGTATGCAAATCACTAGACCAACAATGGTAATGAGGAAATCATGCCACTCCCACAACTACAGGCCCAGCCTTCCATATAGGATATAAGTATATATAATTTACTTTTACACGGTTTTTAAACTCTATTAAACTTTGTTTTAGGCATCAGGGTCACTGCCTGTCATTCCAGGCAGGCCCCCTGCAGGCACTGATGTGGAGGGCTATTCCGTCCATGTGATCGCAACGTCATTGCGATCACATGGCCTGGGAGGGCCTGATCAGCCGCAGGGGCACTGCCTGGGATGCCAGGCATTTCCCCAATCGTGATCGCTGGTGGGGGATCGGCGGCGAGCAGGTAAGTGGGAAGGACGGCAGGAACTTACTATGCCGCCCGTCTGCGTTTAGGACTGGGTCCCCAAGGACGGCATAGTACACCCCCCATCATTAGGGGTTAATCAAAGGCATTTGATTAGCAGCACCTGTCTGCTACTTATTATTATGTTATTATTTATATAGCGCCAACAAGTTCTGCAGCGCTTTACAGTGGATGGATGAACAAACATGTAGTTGTAACCAGACAAGTTGGACACACAGGAACAGAGGGGTTGAGGGCCTTGCTAGAGGGAGTGGTGTAAAGTGACACAAAAGGTAAGGACTAATGACAGTTGCAAGAGAGGAATCAGTCGGGAGCTATTAACAGTTTAACTGATACGCTTTTATGAAGTGGGTTTCTAATTACTTTTTGAAGTATTGGAGACTGGGTAAGCATCTAATGGTGGAGGGAAGTGAGTTCCAGAGGAACGGTGCAGCCCACGAGAAGTCTTAAAGGTGAGCATCAGAGGTGGGAGTGTGGAATGGACCAGCACCTTATTTGCATCTAGTGTTAAGTAGGGTCGGATGTGCGCAATGTTTTTGAGATGGAAGTGGCAGGATTTGGCGATCGACTGAACATGAGGCATGAAGGAGAGGTCGGAGTCAAAGAGGCATGGTGGAGCTGATGGTAGCACCGTTGACTTGGAAGGACACAGACACAGGAGTAGCAACACTTGAGGGAGGAAAGACCAAAATTTCAGTTTTGGTCAACTTGAGTTTAAGGAAGTGGGCAAACATCCAGTTAGAAATAGCAGAGAGGCAGTCAGAGACACTAGTCAAGAGGGACGGGGAATGATCAGGAGAGGACTGATAGATATGGGTGTCATCCGCATAGAAATTATATTGGAAGCCAAAGGAGCTAATGAGTTTACCACGGGAGGCACTATAGATAGAGAACAGTAGGGGACCAAGGACTGAACCTTGGGGGACACCAACAGAAAGGAGTTAGGGAGAAGAAGCAGAGCCAGAGAAAGAAACACTGAAAGAGCGCTGGGAGAGGTAGGAGAATTCCAGTGGAAGCAGTAAGGGTGTACTTAGTGTTTCACACATGGCTTCTCCATTTTGGCTTTATTTTTGTTAAATAAATCATAACACGGTGTAATATGTCATGTGTTATTGTTCATCTGAGGTTGTATTTACCTAATTGTAAGACCTGCTAAGGAACAGATGATTGTTATTATGTCCTGACAGGGCCATCTTTAACACGGGGCAAACGAAGCAGCTGCCCCGGGCCCAGTTACTCCTGGGGGGCCCAAAGCAGCCCTCTATCCACGACAATTTATTTTATGATCACCAATCCTAAAATAAATTGTTGCAGACAGCAGGCACGCACACTGAGGGTGCAGCGGGGGTGGAGGGTCAAGTCCCCTTCCTTGAGCCAGCAGGGATAACAAAAGATCCAGTGAGCTTCTGGGGCTGCTGTACTCCCACGCGGTTCCGGGCAGCCAATCAACAAGCGTTTGACTCGTGTGTCCTTAGAAGCCATCACAGCCATGCCTACTAATGGCATGGCTGTGATTGGCCAGTGCAGCATGTGACCCAGCCTCTATATATAAGCTGGAGTCGCGTAGCACCACACGCGCTACGCGACTCCAGCTTATATATAGAGGCTGGGTCACAGGGAGAGGATGCTGCCGCTGTGAGGGACAGCTTAGGAAAGAATTCTGCAAACTAGTACATTAGTGGGGTGCACTTCATATCTGAGAGACAAATAGAAGCATCAAATACTGCTGTCACATTTCAGTTTTAAAACTTAAAATTTTTTGGGATGCTAAACTGCTAAATAGTATTTTAGTGGGGTGCACTTCATATCTGAGAGTCAAATAGAAGCATCAAATAGTGCACTTACAGCACAGTTGTAAACATTCTAATTGTTTTGGTGCTAAACTGATATATAGTACATTTTGGGGCCTGCTCTTCATATCTGAGAGTCAAATCAAAGCGTCTAATAGTGCGCTTACAGCGCAGTTGTAAACATTCTTATTTTCTGGATGCTAATCTGCTAAATAGTACATTTTGGGGCCTGCTCTTCATATCTGAGAGTCAAATCAAAGCATCTAACAGTGCGCTTACAGTGCAGTTGTAAACATCTAATTTTCTGGGTGCTAATCTGCCAAATAGTACATTTTGGGGCGTGCACTTCATATCTGAGAGTCAAATAGAAGCGTCTAATAGTGCGCTTACAGCGCAGTTGTAAACATTCTAATTGTTTTGCTGCTAATCTGCTAAATAGTACATTTTGTGGCCTGCTCTTCATATCTGAGAGTCAAATCGAAGAGTAACTTTGATTCGAATTTACTACATTGGTCACTTGTAATATTGTTTCACACCTACAACACTTGTTACACAGATCTAAGTGATAGAAAACAGACTGATATTTTCTAAACTAGAAACTACCAGATAACAAGCTGCTATATTTAAACCCATTATCAATAGCTAAGAGGTACTTAAACAATATGTTAATTCTAGGGCAATACCCTCACAAGTCAAACTGAGAGGTAAGTTTATAGGGAAAACTGTTGCCTGGATACAATTCTAAAATAATTTCCATATGTCCTTTGCAGACTTTACATGCTGGAAAAACACAGGTGCCAACTGCTGTGGCTTTCTGCAGTGTGCATACCGGCAAGGAGGGCAGGGTTGAGGAGTGGGTGGAATATGATGTGGAGGATGATGAGGTCCTAAACCCAACATGAAATCAAGGTCATGCGAGTGCAGTTTGGAGGAAGAGGCGCTGGTCGCACAGAGGCACTGGCACAGCATAAGAGGGAGCAGGGTGCAAAAGCAGAGCGGCTGTCCCCTAGCATTCGTCAGCATGTATTATCTTTAGAATTCCCACAGTTATCCAAGTAACAGTTGAAGCGATAAAAAGAACCATAACAGATTTAACAAGCAATTCGCAGTTACGCAGTGCGGTGACCGGGACCCAGACACTGTCTGGGCGGCGGTCGGACGACCCGGACCCAGTATACCTGATCTAGAAGTTAGGAGTCACAGTGTGGAATGGATTAGCAGGGTCTGGTGCAGGGTAACCGCACGCCCCTTTGTGTTCAGCACTAGCGTTTTGCAGCCACATACCAGGAACCTGATGCAGCTTCAGTAAAAAGAGTACTGGATACCAGGAGCCATCACCAGACTGATCCACAACTTGGAACAGGATGTGACATTCACTGTAGTGGCTGTGCGCCTTTCGGCGTTCTCACCTTGCTGCTACTCGCCTGTCTGCGCTGCGGCCTAAGTTTGGCCTTCCAGCTCACTGCCTCATATGCAATGTGCCCACAAGGTGGAACTCCACCTTGCATATGCTGGAGAGACTGTTTGAGCAGCAGCAGGTGATAGTGGAGTTTCAGCTGCAGCACGCACGGGTCAGTGGCTCTGCACCAGACTTCCCTCAAATTGATCAGAGTTAAAGGATTTCAAGTGGACTCATTACAATTACAGGGCCTTTAAAGAGTTCTGTATTGTTATTTGTCGTCACTACCTTCCCGCATCGGGAGTGGGTCATTTGTGCGCCTGCTGCCTTCCTTGTATGTGGTAGCCATTTGTCAGGGTCCATGTACGGAATCGAACCCTGATTCCCAGTTACCCGTAGTCCCCATGATAGTTGCAGTCAATGGCATCGAAAGTTGATTTGGATTGACATACGAATGCGTCATCGCCTTCTCGTTGTGGAGCACATTGAAAAAGTGCTCTAGCATGACGAGCTGGGTGATCTCCTCTGGGAACTTGGCTTGATGGGAGTTGAGCCAGTTCTGGGTGGCCCTTGTGATGCCACAGTGTATACCCAGATATATCAGAGCTACTGCAGAAAGTGCAGGCCTTCTGTGAGCGCTTTTGGCGTTCTCACCCTGCTGCTGCTCACCTGTCGGTGCTGCAGTGTAACTTCGGCCTTCCCGCTCACCACCTCATGAGACTGTGCGAGCAGCAGCAGACGATAGTGGAGTTTCAGATGCAGCACACACGGGTCAGTCGCTCTGCGGAACAGTTTTCTCTTTTTTATATGTCCCAATATTTTGGGGGCTACCCCAATTAAAATAAAAAATAAATATATATATGTGTATATGTGTAGGTGGAAGCAGCGCTGGAGGAGGAAGAGGTAGCAAACACTGTTTATATATATATATATATAAACAGTGTTTGCTACCTCTTCCTCCTCCAGCGCTGCTTCCTTCACAAGCCTCTGCTATTGTGTACATAGTTTATACTAAATGACCGATAGGTTGAGGAGGCGGTGACCGTGGCGGTGTAGGTGGAAGCAGCGCTGGAGGAGGAAGAGGTAGCAAACACTGTTTATATATATATATAGATGGGGTACATTGACGTTGTGGCAGGCTTATGCAATGTATGATCATATAATGTAACTAAACCCCCATTATTTTTGCCTAGATTAGGTGTTTTTAAAAAAACTAATAAAATCTTTCAACTTTGAAGTTGCTGTTTAGTGGATAGGTGAGTGCGCTGGATCTTGTGTTTTGTATTATTTGGCCCCCAGCAGCACCCCCATTTATGCATGTTCAGGTGAGTGCAGCCAACCCCCCTTGTTTCATATGTATATATTTGGGAGTCTAGCCAACTCCTTGGTTTTGCACCCCTCCCTGTCACAGGTGCCTCATCCCAGGGCCCTATTTAGCCTTGTACTGCAGAGAGCCCCAGATGGAATTTTTTCCTCAAGTGAGTGGTTAATCTCATAAGAGCAGACATTAGGCTGTTAGTGTAGGACCTGCCAAAGATGGGGTACATTGACGTTGTGGCAGGCTTATGCAATGTATGATCATATAATGTAACTAAACCCACATTATTTTTGCCTAGATTAGGTGTTTTTAAAAAAACTAATAAAATCTTTCAACTTTGAAGTTGCTGTTTAGTGGATAGGTGAGTGCGCTGGATCTTGTGTTTTATATATATATATATATATATATATATATATATATAAAGAGTGTTTGCTACCTCTTCCTCCTCCAGCGCTGCTTCCACCTACACCGCCACGGTCACCGCCTCCTCAACCTATCGGTCATTTAGTATAAACTATGTACACAATAGCAGAGGCTTGTGAAGGCCTTTTCTCCATGTATCAGGAGTTGAGCTCAGTTTGAACAATGAAAGAGAATACCCTGCACTCCAACCCTCTCTCAAATGGATAATTCTGGTGATCCTCCTAACAGCCATGCTTTAGATTTTGATTTATGTTCTTCCAAAGCTAAAATCAAAGATTCCATCTAGTGCTATTTTATGGCTCAGCTGTATTTTTAATTTTAATTTTATTTTAAGTGATTTCCCTATCCACATTTATTTGCAAGGCACTTGTCCTACTCTTACCCACATTTTACTTCCTTTTGCAGCCCTCTAGCCCTTTCCAGGACTTTTTTAGAGGCATTTTTGTGCCCAAAAGTTCAGGTCCCCATTGACTTCAATGGGGTTCAGGGTCAAGTTTGGGGTCAAGTTCGATCACGAACCTGGAGTTTTTTTTCAAAGTTCGGCCTGACCCGAACATCCAGGTGTCCGCTCAACTCTTTAAGTGACAAAAAATGTTTTTAACCCTTTCATCACTATGGGAAAGGGGGCTTTATAGTGATACTACAGTGCTAGATACAACTTTGTATTCTAGCACTATAGGTCCCGTTTTGTATCAATTTTAATGTGCAGTGTACATAAGGGTGTATTGGAGAAATAGTGTGATTTTAAATGTAAACACTTAAGAGCTACTAGAAGTGATACATATTAAAGTGGTGTGTACTGAATTTCTCATTTTGCAATATTTGTGTGGTATTTACAGGGAGTACACATTGTGTTAAAATGGCATATAATATATTTTGCATATATTCAATTTTTTTTATATTAATAAGTGTGACACTAAAAAATACACTTGTCATATAAATAGAAATATTATTTAAGGCACCTAATGTTTTTTGTTTTTTTTAATGCACCATCTATATGTTATTTTATTTTTGAAGGGAGACACTTATATAGTATAGTGGGATACACTAAGTTGGTAGTTTGTAAGAGCTTGAGAAATTGAAACTTCTTTTGTCTTTTTTTTTAATAAATAGAAAAATGTTGCCAATTATTCTATTCAAGCTATATTTTGCAAGATGTTTCAGTTCTCTGCAATTTTGAATAAAAACATTAGGACTGTATCATATAACATGTATAGGCAGTGGCGGATCTAACACGCTTGCAGCTGCGACTTGGCCCATCTCTCCAGGGGGCCCAGCCACCCTGTGGACCCTTGTGACCGAATTGCCCACCAGCTATGTAATGCGGCCCCAGCTCGGGTGGTATAACCGCCAGGGCAGCGCGTTCAGGGGCCCACCCGATGCTACATATGGGGTGGGGGCCGAGGGCAATTTTCGCACCAGGGTCATGTGGTTTCTAGTTATGCCTCTGTGTATAGGTATATAAATACATGAGGATTTATTCACTATATTGTAGTGAACAGAAATCTGAATTTAAAAATGCTGTCAAAAATGGCTAATTTGGAAAAATTCTTAAACTCAACCATAGTCACAGCTTGTCTAGTGTGTGAACCTCTTAGATTGTAGGAATTGAAGGCAAAACCTTTATGAAGTACAGCCATAAATCGTTTTTTTTTTTTTTTTCTCATTTATTAAACTATCTTCCACCAATCAAGAAAATATTTATTCACAGGCAAACATACGCTGACATCTACGAAGTAATCATGATCCCACTCTACCAGTATGGGAGCAATTCACATGAGCTTTGTGCTCTATACGTGTTTATTGTAAATGCATCTGCTACAAAAGTATGTATAGCAATAATAATAGCACATTGTAAACAACACTTGAAAGTTGTGTATAACCATTAATGCTGCACTCAAGGTGCCCTCCGAGGTGCAGTATTTCAGGTATTGAGAAGTGCAGACCCTTACACTGATAACACTTGACAACTAACCCCCGATGTGCAGCTAGAGCTATATTTAGTATAAAATATTGCACTACTTTAAAGATAAAACGCGTATTTCATTCTATGTGAAAAATTTCGTTTTTGTGAAATGCCTTTCCTTTTATATTTTGGGGAAAGAAAATTTATTTTTAGAGATTTATCAATTGATAGATCTCACAGGATATTCCTCTTTCGGTAAGATAATAATTTGCATTAAAAAAAAAAAAAACATGTACATATATTCCTCTTTCGGTAAGATAATAATTTGCATTAAAAAACCATGTACATCAAGACAAAATTTACTTATATTAATAATTGTGGGCATGTAAAACATTTTTTTTTTTTTTTTTGCTTGCTTTCCACTAAGGCTGCACTAGAGATGGTTAACACTCCAAAAGATGAAAGAAGAAAATGTACTGCTGCTATTATATATACCGAGATAAAGAAGATAATGGAAACTATAAATAGTTTTTTTTTTCTTTTCTTGAGATATCTATAATAGATCTATGAAGAGGAACAATAATGCTTATTGAATAAAAAGGTGGGGGCAAAAAAAAAGCAAATGGATGTAAATAAATGTAATCACTCAAATATTAACAAGAGTTTCCTTAAAGAACCTCTCCATTGATGCTGTTATCATCCAAAGCTGTAATGTTTGAAGAAAGGACTATTCAACAAAGAGGCCACTGCTTGAAATATTGTACAGTAAAATCATTAGCTGCAGCTGCCCTTAAAGAGGGACCTCGATAAGGGTGTCTGGAAAGCTGATGGGATCTTGCAGTGATAGACGATATGGCCTCAAAATCTTCCTTATGACTAAGGGTATGAAAATTAGACATATAGACATGCTGTTGACAATGACGGTGACAATTTTGCCACTTTGTTTGCTCCTCTGAGTATCAGGGAAAACCTTTGGCTGAATGTCTGACACTGTCCACAGAACAATTCTGTTTGAGACTTTTTAACTTCAGATAGAGGCATAACGGCTAATGGAAGATTCATGGAGGTAAGTATCTTAGTGGATTAATCTTTTAGGTATTTAATAGGTACCTCATGTTTTAACGTGTAAAATAAGTGTCAATTAACCTTTCTTCTTTTTGGTACTGGCAAGTATGAATGCATATGTGTATTTGTGGAGTGGTAATGTGTGCATCTTCAAGTATATATTTAAGTGCAGTGAAACTGCCGGGTAATGGAAGGATGCATTCTGTCTGCTGCAAACATGTTAATGTAGTCTTGTATTTATATGTATCATCAGATTTTCATTGTATGTGTCAAAGTAAGGATGTATGTGTGATACGTGCAGGGCCGGACTGGGGGTAAAATCCGACCCGGGTATTTTTTAAAAGAGCGGCCCACTGAGAAGGAGGCATGGCCAGAGAGGAGCATGTTTTGTCATCACCAATGACAAGCATGTCCCCTATTAAAGTGAGCATGTTGGTTCAATGCTCTTCCAGGGCAGCCCATGCGCAGAGCCTTGGTGAAGAGCTCTCGCATGAGAAAAAGGCCCTGTATTTGTTCTGAGCAGCGCAAGTAGATTTATTAACATGCTTGTGCTGTGATTGTTTGTGACTTGTCTTTGGTGTCTCCATAAGTGGGATACCAGAGGACAAAAGGGCATGTAAAGGGCCCTTTACATGTGTTTGGAGCCTGCTTTTGGGATTGCATGTGTGTAGAGCAAGCCGAGTGTGGTGTGGTTTTGAGTATAAATAGGTCGGTTTTAGTTGTGTTTTAATATGTGCGGCTAGGTGCTGTAGAGAGTGAAAAAAGAGTGTGTGTATATATAGGATGCAAAGTGTGTATAGGGGATGTAGCGAGTGTATACATTGGGGCTATAATATATATATATATATATATATATATATATATATATATATATATATATGTGTGTGTGTGTGTATGTGTGTAGGTGATGTAATGTGTGTAGGGGTTGTAAAGAGTTGTTTTTGGGAAATGTAGTATGTTTGCTTACATGGGATCTAGTGTGTGCACAGGGGATTGAGTGTGTATGCAAGAAATGTAGTTTAGTGTGTGTGTGTGTGAAGGGTGCAGTTTTTGTGTGTGTGAAAAGTGGAGTGTGTGTGTGTGAGTAAGTGAGGAATGCAGTCAGTGTGTGAAGGGTGCAGTCAGTGTGTGTGTGTGTGTGTGTGTGTGATGCAGTGTGTGTGTGTGAGGGGTGCGGTTTGTGTGTGAGGGCTGCAGTTATTTATTTATTTATAAAATATTTTACCAGGAAAGATACATTGAGATTTCTCTCATTTTCAAGTATGTCCTGGGTCCACAAAACATTGCATTGATACATTATGGTATAATAAAATACAAAAACAATATTAATACACAATATATACAAAATTTAACAGGTAGGAAATATAAAATCAACCATGACAGGTGCATTCTGTTTTGAGGTATGTAGAAATGGATCTCTTAAAGGACTTTAGGCTTGGGGAAAATTTTAAAGTGTACGGGAGGTCGTTCCACAATTGCGGCGCTATGTAGGAGAAGGAGGATTGAGCTGTTTTCTTTTTGTATTGAAGTAGACTAAATAAAGTGCTGGTACTGGATCAGAGGTTATAGGAGGTGGGAACAGCCGTGACGAGCATTTTGCTCAGATAGGGTGGGAGTTTCCCAGAAAAGCTCTTGAACACAAGGCTGGAAAGATGAAGGGTGCGTCTGGATTCCAGCAACAGCCAGTTTAGTTCTTTTAGCATGTCACAATGGTGGGTCGTGTTGCAAATGGCCGTGGAACAGCTGATTGAGCTCTGAGTTCTTTGCTGGATTGGGTATGTTTAAAAATCAGACTGTTGCAAATAGGCGTGGAACAGCTGATTGAGCTCTGAGTTCTTTGCTGGACTGGGTATGTTAGTGTGTGGGTGTGTGTGAGGGGTGCAGTGTGTGTGTGGGTTACAGTGTGTGTGTTTGGGGTGCAGTGGGGGGAGATTAGAGTAATATATATATATATATATATATATATATGTCTATGTATGTATTTTTAAAAAAATATTTATATATAGCTTATATATATATATATAAGTCCCACCTCTTTACCTTTGCCTGGGAGGTGGGACTTTGCTGCTAGTCCTGGTGGTCCGGTGGGAAATCCATGGTGGCCATAGGGTTGAGTGAGCTCACAGCTCCTGGAGTTCACTCTTGCGAGATCAGAGAGTTGCCATGCCATCCGACCTTGTGAGAGGAACCCGACGGAGATGTGAGCTAATTGCTCCCGGCTCCTCCGCGCTCTCCCTTCCTCCCGTGGTTTGACCATTGTGCCCGATGTCCAGTCTGGGCCTGGATACGTGTCAAACCCAAAGTATATTTCTTGTACTGCCAGTAAGTATGATGTACATGTGTTTTTTTACATGTAGTGTAAATGTGTGAATGAGGTGTTCTATTAGAATGTAGAGCAGATGTGTGGTATGCACTATTTTATTAGGGAATTATGACTTATGAACACCGTGGTGTATTTGTATGGAATTTTGATGTGTGAACAGAAGTGTCTTTGTGTAGTGTTGGTGTCTATGTTAAGCAAGGGATGTGTACATAAATTAATTTTTTTGTGGAAGAAGCTGTATGTATAAAGGGTGACAGTGTCTGAATGTCCGTGTGTATTAGTTCTGAGATTCTGTGTATGAATGCAAGGATAAAGAGTGTGTGAATTTCAGCAATCAGTGTCAGAGTCTGTGGCTGTTGCAGTGTGTCATTTTGAACGTAATCAGTGGCGTCTCCAGGATTCATACTTGGGGGTGAGGGGGAGGGGGCACATAAGGTGCCAGAGACAAAAGAAGGGGGGAAGTTATAAAATGTGTGTGTGTGTGTGTGTGTGTGTGTGTGTGTGTGTGTGTGTGTGTGTGTATATATATATATACACACACACACACACACACATTTTATAACTTCTCCCCTTCTTTTGTCTCTGGCACCTTATGTGCCCCCTCCCCCTCACCCCCAAGTATGAATCCTGGAGACGCCACTGATTTTTGAATGCAAACACACCCCTGCAGTCACGTTCAAAATGACACACTGCAACAGCCACAGACTCTGACACTGATTGCTGAAATTCACACACTCTTTATCCCTGCATTCATACACAGAATCTCAGAACTAATACACACGGACATTCAGACACTGTCAACCTTTATACATACAGCCCTGTGTATGTATGGGTATACAGTTATAAAGTGTGTGTGTATATATAGATACACACACACACTTTATAACTGTATACCCATACATACACAGGGCTGTATGTATAAAGGGTGACAGTGTCTGAATGTCTGTGTGTATTAGTGCTGAGATTCTGTGTATGAATGCAGGGATAAAGTCAGGGCCGGATTAACATAGGGGCTGATGGAGCTGCAGCTCCAGGCCCAGGCCCATGGAATAGGCCCATTTTTAAAAAAAAAAAAAAAAAAAAAAATTTTTTTTTTTTTTTTTTTTTTCACACACTACTCTTAGGTTTGCCACCTGACTGGTATTTTAATGGCACAGATGGTATTTGAGGCTGCCTGGCCGTGCCGGTATTGCAGTAATACCAGCAATACAAATGCAGGTAATTTTCTCAGAATAAATGGAAATTACTCTGCAATACCAGCACCGGCCAGTAGGGGTCACTGTGTGTGGAGAGAGGCAGAGATAGGAAGTTACAGAATATCCCTGCCTCTCTCTACTACTCACTCATCCACGGGGGAGCAGCTACACAGCACAGAGAGTCCAGACAGCAGCTCTACAGCTCAGGTAAGTGATGGATGGGGGTAAAGGCAGCAGGGACACATGGGGACACTGGGACACAGACACTAGGGGACACATGATGACACATACTCTAGGGGACACTGAGACAGTAGGAACACACTGAGACACTTGGGGACACTGGAAAACATGGGGACACAGACACTTGGACATATGGGGACACAGACACTAGGGGACACATGGGGACACAGACACTAGGGGACACATGGGGACACAGACACTGGAAGACCTGGGGACACTGAGACACTTGGGGACACTGGAAAACATGGGGACACTGAGACACTAGGGGACACTGGGGGATGCTGAGACACATGGGGACGCTGTGAGACATAGGGACATTGGGAGACATTGGGACACGGAGACACCATGTCCCCAGCCAGTGTCCCTAGTGTCTCAGTGTCCCCAAGTCTCCCAGTGTATGTGTCCCATGTCTCAGTGTGCCTTGTGTCCCAGTGTCCCCATGTCTATGTTCACAACTGTCCCCATGTCTCCCCAAGTGTCTGTCTCCCAGCCAGTGTCCCCTAGTCTCCCAGTATCCCCTAGTCTCCCAGTGTCTGTGTCCTAGTGTCTTAGTGTCTCCAAATGTTTCAGTGTCTCCATGTCTCCCAGTGTCTGTGTGCCTGGTGTCCCCATGTCTCCCAGTGTCCCTATATGTCCCAGTGTCCACATGTCTATGTCCACAACTGTCCCCATGTCTCCCAGTGTCCCCAAGTGTCTGTCCCCCAGCCAGTCTCCCCTAGTCTCCCAGTGTCTGTGTTCCCATGTCTGTGTCCCTAGTGTCTTAGTGTCCCCAAATGTTTCAGTGTCCCAGTGTCTGTGTCCCTAGTGTCTCAGTGTCCCCATTTCTCCCAGTTTCCCTAAATGTCTCAGTGTCCCCATGTCTCCCAGTGTCCCCATGTCTCTCAGTGTCCCCAGTATCCTAATGACATGGGGACACACTGAGACATTGGGACACTGGGAGAAATGGGGACACAGACACTGGGAGACTAGGGGACTGGGCGACATGGGGACACTGACACTGTGATACACAGGGACACAGACAATGAGTGACTTGCGAGACTGAGACACTGGGAGACAGGGAGACACTGGGAGCAATCCATCTATACAGCAGAATCAAACTGTGAGTAGCTTGTTGGTGATTTTACAGAATTTTCTCTGATGTCACTCCTTGTGATTTACATCATGTGATGTCACGCATAACTAAATAATTATACAAATGATTAAGGCTGGTATTTTTTTCAAAGAACGGTGGCAACCTTAACTACTCTTCACATACTCTTGCTTAAAGGAGCACCATAGAGTCAGGAACACAATCATGTATTTCTGACCCTATTATGTTAAAACCACCACCCAGACCCCTTCTTGCCTCCCTAAATATAGTAAAATATTACTTGTATTCAATTCTGCAGCTGCTGGCTGAGAAGTGGTGGTCTGAGCAAATTACAATACTTCCCCATAGGATTGGCTGAGACTGTCAAGTAGGCAGATCAGGGGCAGAGCCAGCACAAGTCCAACATAGCCCTGGCCAATCAGCATCTCCTCATAAAGATAAATTGAATCAATGCATCTCTATGAGGAAAGTTCAGTGTCTGCATGCAAAGGGTGGAGACACTGAATGGCAGTGCTGCACACTAGGCAGTACTGCCCCAGGAAGCACCTCTAGCAGCCATCTAAGGAGCGGCCAGTGGAGTTATTTTCTCTGAAAAGACAGTGTTTACTGCAAAAAGCCTGAATGGAATGATTCTACTTACCAGAATAAATACAATAAGCTGTAGTTGTTCTGGTGACTATAGTGTCCCTTTAAGTTTGGAAGCTTAAGAGGGATGTATGGGAACAAAACTTGTGTGCACTGGCTGACATTAAAGTTAGTTTAGGTAATGCAGACATTGGTCTCTCTAACACTGTGGCATGTCCCCTTTCTTCTACACTCACTACAGACACCTTTTCTCTGTCTCAGACTATATACCAGGAACTTTTGCCTGCTAGTAAGAAGGTAAGGAGACAAGTGGACCAGTGAGTGCTAGGGGACAGTCCTTAGAAAGAATGGAGTGAGCGCATCATTAGACGCATTTATGTCAAGCTCAAGGTGCTGCCTGCATAGTATGCCCTTAGTTGGACAGCCTGCAGGATTGGCAGGCAGCCTGACATGCATTCATGCCAGGCTGACCTTCCAATTCTTTGGACAAACATGCCCCCTTTTTGGGCATGTTCACCCCTTTTGGCAGGTCTTGTCACGTGATTCGCGCCAGTGGCACACCCTTTTACCCCGCCCATTGACTTCCTGCTTCACTGGACACTGCTGTTAGGGGTTATGGATTTACTTCAGAGATGAAAGCATAAATTAGAGAGAGATTAGCATAGAGTATGTGTTTTCTTATAGCTGCATCCTATGAGTTTCCCTCCAGCACCATCTCCTTCAGATACATGACGCTTGGGAGGTATGATTGTTTTAGTGTTTTTGGTCGATAAGATTCCGTAATTAGGCCCATCATAATTGTCAGCACCAGGCCCACCGTGCTCTTAATCCGGCTCTGGATAAAGTGTGTGTGAATTTCAGCAATCAGTGTCAGAGTGTGTGGCTGTTGCAGTGTGTCATTTTGAACGTGACTGCAGGGGTGTGTTTGCATTCAAAATCAGTGGCGTCTCCAGGATTCATACTTGGGGGATGAGGGGGAGGGGGCACATAAGGGGCCAGAGACAAAAGAAGGGGGGAAGTTATAAAATGTGTGTGTGTGTGTGTATATGTATATATATATATATATATATAGGTGTGTGTGTGTGTGTGTGTGTGTGTATCTATATATCTATACATAAATATATATATATAATATATATATAAAACACAAGATCCAGCGCACTCACCTATCCACTAAACAGCAACTTCAATGTTGAAAGATTTTATTAGTTTTTTTTAAAAACACCTAATCTAGGCAAAAATAATGGGGGTTTAGTTACATTATATGATCATACATTGCATAAGCCTGCCACAACGTCAATGTACCCCATCTTTGGCAGGTCCTACACTAACAGCAGGGACAAGTCCTGGGGAAAAAGTGTAGGAACTCTCACCTAAGATTCCTACCCTTTAAAAAAAATTACACTCCTATGCATATAGTGCAGTGCAGGGTGTGTATAATGAGTGTAGTGTGTTTGTAGTGAATGCAGAGTGTGTATAATGAATGCAGTGTGTTTTTAGTGAGTGCAGAGTGTGTATAATGAATGTAGTGTATTTGTAGTGAGTGCAGTGTGTATAATAAATGTAGTGTATTTGTAGTAAGTGCAGTGTGTATAATAAATGTAGTGTGTTTGTAGTGAGTGCAGTGTGTATAGTGAATGCAGTGTGTATAGTGAATGTAGTGTTTTTGTAGTGAGTGCAGAGTGGGTATAATGAATGCAGAGTGTGTATAATGAATGCAGAGTGTGTATAGTGAATGTAGTGTGTTTGTAGTAAGTGCAAATTGTGTATAATGAATTTAGTGTGTTTGTAGTGAGTGCAGAGTGTGTACAATGAATGCAGTGTATGTAGTGTGTTTGTGGTGAATGCAGAGTGTGTATAGTGAATGTAGTGTGTGTAGTGAGGCAGAATGTATAATAAATGAGTGTGTATAGTGAATGCAGAGGGTGGTGAATGGTAGTGTGTTTGTAGTGAAGAGTGTGTATAATGAATGCAGTGTGTGTATGCAGCGACGACGGTGTGTGTGTGCTGGATGATGTGGGTGTGTGTGTGCTGGATGATGTGGGTGTGTGAGTGCTGGATGATGTGGGTGTGTGAGTGCTGGATGATGGGTGTGTGAGTGCTGGATGATGGGTGTGTGAGTGCTGGATGATGGGTGTGTGTGTGCTGGATGATGTGTGAGTGCTGGATGATGGGTGTGTGTGTGAGTGCTGGATGATGGGTGTGTGTGTGAGTGCTGGATGATGTGTGTGTGTGTGTGCTGGATGATGTGTGAGAGTGCTGGATGATGTGTGTGTGTGTGTGCTGGATGATGTGTGTGTGTGTAAAGTGGATGATGTGTGTGTGTGTGTGTGCGAAAGTGCTGGATGATGGGTGTGTGTGTGCTAGGATGATGGTGTGTGTGTGCTGGATGATGGTGTGTGTGTGTGTGTGCTGATGTGTGTGTGTGTGCTGGATGATGTGTGTGTGAGTGCTGGATGATGTGTGAGTGAGTGCTGGATAATGTGTGTGTGTGTGTGTGCTGGATGATGGGTGTGTGAGTGAGTGCTGGATGATGGGTGTGTGAGTGAGTGCTGGATGATGGGTGTGTGAGTGAGTGCTGGATGATGGGTGTGTGTGTGCTGCATGATGGGTGTGTGTGTGCCGGATGATGAGTGTGTGAGTGCTGGATGATGGGTGTGTGTGTGCTGGATGATGGGTGTGTGTGTGCTGGATGATGGGTGTGTGTGAGTGCTTTTGATGATGTGTGTGTGTGTGTGCTGGATGATGTGTGTGTGCTGATGATGGGTGTGAGTGCTGGATGATGGGTGTGTGTGTGC